GAAAATTTCGAGGCTCTTGATTGGCGTCAATTGCTGCAACAAAGGCTCGATGTTCTTTAGAAAAATTAGTTAAACTGACATAATTGCATATAGGATACTTAATACCTGAGGTGACATTGGTTCGGATGAGAGGAGGTGAGTGTGTTTCAGCCATGTGACAAGCATAATCTTGCAAATAAGTGGGAAGTTTTCGTGCTCTCTGGTGTCTTGTAGGCACAACATCTTGAGAGGAATATGGCATTGAAATAGCATCGGAGCTCCCTCTATCGTCCGTAGTGGGTTGCACTATTGTGGCAGTTTCACATGACTGCTCTTCATCGTTTTCTGCAACTACAACGTTTTCAGTTTCATCAGGGAATGATGTAGGCAGCTGAAGGACAATAGGTTCATTCTTCTTTACTCGGAATGGAAATTCTTGTTCTCGAAACTTGACATCTCTTGACACAAAACGTTGTCCAGTCTCGATATCTAACAATCTCCAACCCTTTTGTCCTGTTGGATATCCAATTAAAATACATCGTCGAGAGCGTGGAGCGAATTTGTCATTGGGTTTGGGTCTGAAGTTAGCGAAGCACAAACATCCAAATGTTCTCAAGTAAGTGTATTCTGGTGGGGTTCCATGCAATATCTCATGTGGTGACTTTCCTCCAAGAACCTTTGTAGGTGTTCTATTGATAAGATGTACAGCTGTTAGAATGCTTTCTTCCCAGAACTCAGCTGTCATACCTGCATGAAATAATAAAGCACGCGAGACATTAAGAATGTGTCTATGTCTCCTCTCTGCGCGTCCATTTTGTTCGGGAGTATGTACACACGTTGTTTGTTGTAAAATGCCTTTTTCACTCAAGAGTTGCATCATTTTATTAGACTTAAATTCAGTTCCATTATCAGAACGAATTATTTTGACATTTTTCCCAAACTGATTCTGCACCATAGCCATAAATTTACACATTCGATCATAAGTTTCACTTTTCTTGGCCATCATATATACCCACACACTTCTACTAAAATAATCGACAATAGTTAAGAAATAGTAAGCACCCGAAGAGGAAGGAGACTTGTAGGGTCCCCAAGTATCACAATGAACCAAATAAAAACTTTCTTTACTGCGTGAAGTACTCAAAGGAAACACAGATCGAGTTTGTTTGGCACATTGGCAAACATCACATGCCGCACCAGTAACATTTTTATTCAACGAAATATTAATTCCTGGAATCAAAGACAACATATCATAAGATGCATGACCTAGTCTACTATGCCACAGCTCCATAGATTCTTCTGCTCGAACTGCTGAAACCGAAGCATGCTTGGGCTGAAACACATACACTCCTTCCTTGAGCTCACCCAAACCAATCTCCCTCTTCAGTATTTGGTCCTGCAAAAGGCAATTTTTATCAGTAAAGGTTACCATCCTGCTATTATTTCGCAATAGCTGTGAAACAGAAATCAGATTGCATCTCAATTGGGGAACATATAACACATTGGATAGTTTGAATTGTGCATTAAACATCATTGTTCCTTCTTTTTCTGCAAGAGTAACAGATCCTTTTGGTAAAGTGACGGACAAAGGATTAATCTTTCTAATTTTAGTCAACAAATTCAAGGATCCCGTCATGTGGCGAGAGGCTCCGCTATCAATAAGCCATTGAAAGTGTGTAATCTTACCAGACAATTTATCATTGGATGGCTGTTCAACCAAGGCAATGAGCTTGTTCATAATTTCAGGTGTCAACATTGAATTCGCTGTGACCTGCAGAGGCACATTATTCTGGTAAGAAGCTGCTGCTGCAGCTTGTTGAAGTGCATCACCTTGATAGGATGCTACGGCTGGTTGAGAGCTTTCCCAAGTCTGCATGGCATGAGCTTGTTGATGTCTTCCTCCTGATCGTCCCCTTCCACGTCCCCGTCCACCAAATCTGTTTGCTGGAAATCCAATGACGTTCCAACAACGTGAGGGATCATGGTTGGTTTTCCTGCAATGAGGACACAGCACTCTCTCGGCTTGTTTGCCAGAGATCGTGTGCTGATCATGACTTTCCATCTTGTCTTTCAATCCAACCTGAGCTACATATCCTACCACATTTTCTCGTTCTTCCTGATGGCGGGCAATGTTACGATGAGTTTCTTCTTGCGTAACAATTGCATACACTTTGTTGACATTTGGCAAAGGTGAGGTGTTCAAAATCTGTGAACGTAAATTGCCAAAGACAGCCTCATCAAGTCCCATGAGAAATTGATAAACACGGTCATGTTCCTTCTCTTCTTTGATCTCCTTTGCGTAAGCACACTTGTCTCCACAGTCACACGTCTTGCGGGTTTTACTCCCTTCAAGTTCGTCCCACACAGCTCTTAACTTGGTATAGTATTCACCCACACTATTTCCAAGTTGTTTTATATTAGCTAAACTGGTCTTGAGTTGATATTGACGTGGAGAATTTTCCACGGCATATCTCTCCTTCAAATCATCCCACAAATCTTTTACTTCATCAAAACATTTGATGAATGGCTGCAATTTCGCATCAATGGTATTATGTATCCAACCATTGATCATCGAATTGCACATCTCCCACGCTCGCCATTCTTCCTCGTCATCTTCCTCTGGTTTCTTTACGGTTCCAGTAACGAAACCTAACTTATTTTTCGCTCTTAGTGCGTTTTTCATGAGCTTTGCCCAATTCTCATAGTTGGCTTCTCCACGCAGCATTACAGTTGTAAGCAAAATTCCCGGATTATCCGAACCTGCCAGATGAAATGGCGATCCAGGATCCGAGGGTTTCATCTTGCTGCTGGCCATCTTCCGTAGGGCAAGCTTTCGCACTTTTTCTCACACTGCGGAAGCGTTGTTTAATTTTGGTGGGCTCTGATACCAAGATAAACTTGGTAATGCAACCTATTGATATTATTCAAGTGTGCAGCCTTTTAATAGGCAATTGGCAAAACAGATACACGATTTGTTACAGAGAAATGATAAGAGATAAAACAACTATCTAAATTATTTAACTATCTAGTAACAAACTAAAGAATCTGCAATATAACAATCTAACCGTATAATATATCTAACAGTATAATATCCTAACAAATATTGATATCCTAACAATCTCCAACACAAAACTCATCTTCTCTCCTATGCAATAGTGGAATGAGGAAAGGGGTTACCTTACCTCCTTTTAAATTTAGGATTCAATATTATAAAAATTTTTGACACTTACTAAAAATAAATGGATTTCATATCGGACCCAATCATTTTTAAATGAATGAGATAGAATGTAACCCATTCACTTTTATGTGAAAATGGTAGAAATTTTTTTTTTTGCACTAAAAGTAAAAATATGTTTTCCTTAAATTTATGTGGACATTTAATTATGAGCGTCAATTATGTTATTTTTTGTGAGAATTAATTTTGTTATTTTGGTTACTAAATATTATATTTGTGATACCCTCGCCCTTCACAATATTTTTTGATTCGCCCATTATTTTTAGGCTTCTTCACAAATTCGAAATCTCTCTCTAATTCAAATGAGTCTTTTTAGATAGAAGAAACCGAATATTCACTTCTTCTTCGTTATTATTTATTTTATTTTATTTTGAGAGTAGATTTTTTCATGTTGAGAAAGACATGACATGATTATGTGAGCAATTGTAATCATATAAAAGTGAATTAATGATAAAAAAAGAGAGAGAGAAAAAATATATTAAAATAAGTAATTATTAAATCATAATGATTCATTTACCTTTGTATAGTTATTATTATCCTATATGACCCTCCCATGTTTTTAAAAAAATGAAAAGATCCATTTCTTTTTTATTTTATAGATAGAAGCTGGTGAACATTTATGGCAGTGGGAGAAGGTGCAAGGTTGATTTAATTTTTAGACAAACTTCATTTTCAAACCCTCGTGGATTAATGGTGTATCACTTAACTCTTTATGTTTTCAAATTTATCATTCATATCCATTATAGTTAAATAAGTTTGTCATTTAATCCTATGTGATTTCAAACATTCACTTAGTTATACCTATCCTGATAACAAAAATATATCACTTAGACCCTTATGGTCTTATAAATATAAAATTATTTATTTTTTCTACACTTTATTTTTTATAATTATGATATTTTCAAATAAAATTTATTATTAAAAAAAATATCTAAAGTTATTTATTTTGAAATTATTTTAAAAATCATCTTAAATTTTTAACAGTAATAAGTGATAGAATTAAATTATTTGAAGCATTTTACTGTTTTTAATACTATCACTTAATTCTATCACCAAAAGAGATGACAAAAAAATAGAAGTTTTGAAGCATAACAATATATGATTGAGCAATACTAAAATAAAATAAAAATTATAACAAAAATGTATCAAAATTAAATTCATTGTCTAATTGAACATTGTTATTTATCAAGGAAAAAATTTCGGTGAACAAAAAATTCTTTGAGGTAATTGTTAGAAGCCTTTTATGAAAAAATTTCAAAGTTAATTTATGGGAAAAAAAAAGAAGAAGGGAAAGATCCGTTTACAATTTTTTTTTAAATTTTTTTACAAATTACACTAGGTTCTTCTCGGGAGAAGATAATATAACGAGTGTTCTCCCAAGAGAATACAGTGCAGTTTGTAAACAAAAAAAATTTGTAAATATAAACCGTGCAAAACAAAATTCATAAAAATAACATTTTTATTTTGGTTGGTTTGGTTGCATTATGAATGAGGCTCCAACACAATATGACCGTTAGTCCAACCATTATGAATATTTATGAATTTCAAAAAAGTTTGGCCCTACTTACCGTTGCCAACAGCTAGTTGTTTCTTTCCGTGAAAAAAACTCAGAAGAACCCTGTGAACAAAAACATCAAACCTCCTCATCAGGTTTCTTTAACTCATCTTCATTCCTTTCTTGATCCTAATACTTCTATGCATTATTCATTTCCCTAATCCATCTCATACCAGGTTTCTCTTTCCTTTGAAACCCTTTTCTTTGTTTACGCTCAAAACATTCTTCAAAATGGCAACGCTTGCACCTGGAATTCTATTGAAGCTCCTAAACGGTTTGAACACGGGTGTGAAACCCACAAGCGAGCACCGAAGCTCGCTCTTGCAGGTCACGGACATTGTCCCTGCTGATCTCGACGAGAAAAACCTGTTACCCAAGCAAGGTTTTTACATCAAGGTCTCCGATTCATCACACTCCATCTATGTCAGTCTTCCCTCTGACCAAGATGACTTTGTTCTCAGCAACAAAATGCAGCTTGGTCAGTTCATCTATGTCGATAGATTGGAACCGGGGTCACCGGTTCCGGTAGTCAAAGGGGCTAAACCACTCCCCGGAAGACACCCTCTTGTTGGGACCCCTGAACCGTTGATGGGTCTGAGAGAAAAGGGAGGGAGAACAGAACAACACAAGCCTTCGTCCACTTCAGCCCCTAGAAGAGGTTCTTGGGGAAATAATAGTGTTGGTCCCGATGGCATTTCATCTCCCATGGTTTTCAAGCCTGTTAATTTGGATTTTGATCAGTGTACCCCAGTGAAAAGTTCTATGTCACCAATGATTAGAGGGAGAGTTGGATCAAAGGAGGGAACTCCAGTTTCTGGTATCAGATGCTCTGTTGGTGGAGGGCTTCTTGCAAAGATGACAGATGCTAAAGGAGAAAGCCCTGCATTGCTTAGAAAAAGCTGTGTGGTAGCCACTTCTTCTAACACAAAATTTTCCAGGAGCAGGAGTGTATGTGAACGAGAGCCTAGGATACCTTTAAGTCCCTTCAAGTCATCTGTAGGTACATTGTTCCTTCCTCTTTGATATTTAAAAAATGCTTAGTTAACAATCAATGCTTAGATAGACTTTTATTAAGTGATAAAGTTTTAATTGTAGGAAAAGAAAAGTGGCACTCCCCCACCCCGTTTGAGAAATGCAAGAGTAGCAACTTCCATCAATGTTGCTGGAGATGCTCACAATCAGGACTTGAATGTGTCTTGTCAACCACAATCTCAATCTACAACTAATTCAGCTTTTGATAACTGCAACAATCTTAGCCTCCCCATGAATTTACCAGGAAAGCTGAGCTCGCTGGGGAAGGTAAAAAATTTAAAAGCCATTATTTAGTCTTTCGCATTGGTGTATCTATAATCATATTTATTTTATGTTGCTTGGTTTTTACATGATAGGAAGCTGTACAACAAAGAGAAGTGGCTCAAAAGATTGCCCTTCAAGCATTAAGAGATGCTTCAGCTACTGAGACAGTAGTTCGGTCCCTTAAGTATATTTCTTTCAATTTTACTTTATATTATCTGTGCACTTTTTGTACTATTCTTTGCCTATACTAAACTTAGCAACTGATAAATGAAATTTCTTGTTTTGTGTTGTCTTTCAGGATGTTCTCAAATTTATGCAAATCAGCTCGAGCTGATGCTCCTGCGGCCAGTTTTGAACGGTTTTTGGAATTCCATAACGATATTGTACAAGCAGTTAGTGATATGATGTCCATTCAAGCAGCTACTTCAGCTTCAGAAGTGGCTCAAAAATCAGATAAACAAGCTAAAGAAGAGTCACAGGTTTCACATGTAGTTACGCACAATTCCATGGACCAATTGGGTAATTCTGAACCAAACTCGTCAAAAAGAAGGTATGCTATGTACAAGTCAATGGCTGCCATTCCTGAAAGACATGAGCAGAAAACAAATATGGGGAAGCTTCTGAGATTCAGTACGAACCAAAAGGAGATTTCGGAGAAGAAAGGTTCCACTCCGCTTGCAAAAATGCCACTGGAAACTGTTGTTGAAAATGACGAGAATAAGAAACCAGTATCAGGCAGTTTGAGCAATACAATCAAACTGGGAAAGCAGATTGAAACAGAAGCTGGAAATTGGTTTATGGAATTCATAGAGAAGGCCTTCGAGACAGGTTTGAAGAAAACAAAGGAGGAAGCTTCGGTTGGGGATATTCGGAAAGTTCCTCAATCTCTCATACTAAAAGTTATAAACTGGGTTGAGGTAGAACAGTGCCACAGCAACAAACGGCCTAGTCATCCTAAAGCAGCACAGATAGCACGAAAGTTAAGGATAAAGATGAAAAATCCTTAATGTTTTTGTTCAATTGGTCAAAAATTCTTCAAGATGGTGTGTTCTGGGTTTGGAATAGCAGTTTAATTCTTATGTCACGTGCCACTTAAAGCTTTTTTAAAGTGGATGACTGTTTGCAATATTCAATATATATAGGTATTGTTTGATTAGAACTGAATACTGAGCATCAGGTTTGTGCATGTAGGTAGTTTAAGAATAAATATGAAAAACCCTTGATATTTTCAAGTAGATGATTGTTTGTAATATGCATATATAGCAGTAGTATTTTAGGTATTGTTTGGTTAATTTAATTTTATTGTTGAATAGCAGTAGATGATTTTTTTCTTTTCTTTTCTTTTTTATCAACTTTCTGAAAAAGATTCTTAAAAAACATTATGCAGGCTTGGATTAGTTTAATTGTAGAATTTTCTTTTCTTTTCTTTTCTTTTTTATCAACTTTCTGAAAAAGATTCTTAAAAAACATTATTTTCCTAGAAAAAGTTATTACCAACAATGCAAGCTCTGGCCACATCTCAACTCAGCACAATCCTATAACGATTCACCCAAAAAAAATACACATAAACATAATAATTCTAATGCAATTCTGGCACGGAGCAAGCTGGCTAGTTTAGGATAAAGATACGTGCAACGTTGCAAAGGAACCATGAAATTGGATGCTGCAACGTCGAGCAGTAAAAGAAACTAATGATATATATGAAAAAACTAAAACTAAGGAAAACCGTTTTGTTTCTGCATTTTCCATCCCTTACTTACTGTGAAACCAAATACGCAATAACATTTATAACTAAATAAATAAGGATCGCGTGTACACGCGCATAACATTTCGTTTCTTCTTTTTCCATCCCTTACTTACTCTGAAACCAATTACGCCATAACATTTATAACTAAACTAAGATATTTAGGAAAACACTAAAACTAAGGAAAACCGTTTCTTTTCTGCATTTTCCATCCCTTACTTACTGTGAAACCAAATACGCCATAACATTTATAACTATATAAATAAGGATCGCGTGTACACACACGCATAATACTCGAGTGAAAAAAATGAATGTCATCTTGGCGGCACCGTTTGACGTTCATAACGGCCATTTCAGAAAACTTGCCGTGTGCCCGTGTCCATAAACTCCTTTTAATTTTTCATTTCTAGCTGATTCAGCTTTCGCTTCAGCTTTTCTTTCTCTCTCCTTCTCTGTAGCAAAACCTAGCAGCTACACTAGACTTTGCTCCATTCTCTGCTCTTCTGCCTCACTCGATGATCACTGACTCTGCCATGGCTGTTCCTGTTTCCACGAACGACTCCGTTTGTCTCGAAAGGAAATTCCTGAAACACATTCGCGACAACGTTCACGGCAACATCTTCCTCGAGCCGGTTATCGCTTTTTCCATTCTTCGTTGAAACTTTCCTTCTCGAATAATAATGCGTTTCTACTTAGATTCTCTCTTTGTGCGTTGATTCTATAACTTTGACTCTTTGCGTGAGATTGATTTTTTATTGTTGATCTAGCATATATTGAAGTGGATCCTGTGTTGTTAGTCACTGAAAGAAAATGTGGAACTCTATAGATGATTTTGATGGACTACTAGAATAGTAGAATATGTGTACACTACTTGAAAATGATTGAGTTTAAGCTGCTTAGGTCAATGCATTCATTGTAAATCTTGTACAAGAGTCAGCGACAGAGATTAGAAAAAAGTAATATATGTACTCCTTGAATCAGCTAGGGATGCTTTTTTATATGGAATAGTAATGTTTGAAGTTTACCTGTAAACATAATGAAATTGTTGAATGACGTACTTTATTTAGTGGCACTTAGCTGTCCGGATTGTGTGGTATTTTATAATCATCAAATAAGTATGCACTTTCTTTTGATTCAAAAGTGCAGCCGAGTTTTATTTTTTAATTTTTATATTTTTGCTATTGATTTGCAGATCTTCTTGAAGTTTGTTGACACCGAACAATTTCAAAGGCAAGTATGCCTTACCAAAAACAGAGTCAAATAGTTACGGCGGTTAATGCACTCTGACTTATTTTTCTTCTTCTGTTTCTTTTTTTACTTTTTCAACTTTGTTTATTATGCAGACTTCGTGATTTGAAGCAACTTGGTGAGTAACGAATGAGAATTATTAGAGGAATATATGAGTAGAAAATAATTAGATGTGTTTTAAATGCATATTTATAGGAATGATTTTATCATGGAAAATCATAGTAAATCTTCTTAGCTTCCCTTAGCCCCTTCCTGTTACAAATCTGCTAACAGCAGTTTTTATTTCTGTGCTTTTGCATGTTAGATTGGTTGGCTATAGCTGTAATAAGCATAAACCATAAAGATAGATAGATACAATAGATATTACTTTTCCCTAGTTCAATAGTTGTCAATCAAGCAAGCGTTTTTTGAAACAATATAACCAATCTCATTTTAAATGAACCTAACTTACGAACTTATGTGATCCAGGCCTAAGTCATATGGTTTACCCTGGGGCTGTACACTCTCGTTTTGAGCATTCACTGGGCGTTTATTGGCTGGCTGGCAAAGCTATTGATATCATTAAAAAATACCAAGTAAATATACTTTTTAAATTGTCTTATTTAGATACTGCTTATGAGTTATGAGATTATACTGCTAACCAATCATTTCATGCTTTTAGGGCCCAGAGCTTGGTATTGAACATTATGATGTATTGACAGTAAAACTTGCTGGTAACTGACATCTGTACCTAATTAGTTCTATGTTTTGTTTGATCTAATTTGATTACTTTATTATTAGTTATATCTGTGTCTAGGATTACTGCATGATGTTGGTCATGGGCCCTTCAGCCACACTTTTGAGCGTGGGTTCCTTCCCCTGGTTCTTAATGGCTCCACTTGGTAAATCTGTTGTTCTGTATAAAACATGTTTTATGGGTTGCAATACTTGCATTGTCTATGAAAATGTGTTCTCTTTATATACTAATATGTAGATAATAGGCACATGAGAACTGTTCTTAAGCTTGTATCTATTTTTCAATAGTCAAAGAGAGTTTCAATCTTTTTGTGAGTTCTATTCCAAGCCAAGAAAGATTATAATAGCCAAAAGCAGATAATCCATTATTCCATTATGTTGAATGACCAAGAATATTGTGTGTCCAATTATTGAAATAGCATATTATTTTAGTAGATGACCTTATACATGTGGAGTTTTGTTGTAAACTTTGTTGCTTTACTTTCATTTTTCTGTTAGAAGTTTCATTAGCAATAGTTCCCAAAAATTGTAGTTTGAGACCATTATAATTTATGAACTTTGAGATCATAAGAATGTCTCATATAATGTGTCATTTTAATCTAGCGATTAATTTGATAGTTTTTATGATTCTTTATTATGACTGTTTCATCCCTTTTATTTTATTTTCAATATCAAAGAATCGCAAAACCACTTTAAAGTTTCAAGAACTCACGTTTATTGTTTACAGCAGAAATCAGCAATTTGATAGGAAGCCAAGATGACATTTTCCTAGGCTTGTAACTGTAGCAAAATTGCTCTTCTCTGACACCTTATCTTATAGCTCATTTAATATATTACTTTTTCACATTCCTTTGACTTGAATATGACCATCATAGCTCTTCCTCTGCGATATATTACTTGTTATTATTTTGACTTTGTAAACAAAATATTATGTTTTCTGCAATAGTTTATTGCCTCTGTTGGAATTAACTAGATCTTCACAAAAATGTAATCATTTATTTTTGGAGAATCCATCCTTTTGAATTATTAATGTTAAGACTTTCAGGTCTCATGAGGAAATGTCTGTGAAAATGATTGATCATATTGTTGATCAACACAATATTGATGTGGATGCTGAACTCCTAAAAAAAGTGAAGGTTAGACTGTAATGATCACATGAATCTTCCTCAATGTTTCTTTATGTGGTTTTTCAAAACTGAAATTCAATATGTTAGAAATGTCTGTTCTCTTGATACCCTTCAATATGACAAACAAATGCTTGGGGATCACTGATGCAGTCTGTTCTTCCAGTGCTGGAAGTGTTTTAACTTTTAATGAACACCTTTCTGTAAAGCCTCTACTTTCATTATTTATGTTGCATACTAAAAATATTCCACTTCTAAAATTTTTAATTTTGCTACTTCTTAGTATGTAGACAAGAAAGAAGCTTTGATGCATTTCATTTCTTTATGCAGGAAATGATCACTTCTAGCTCTGACCATCCTGCAGAAAGAGTAAGTCATCTTAGTGTCCAAGGGTTTCTTTTGATTATTATTATTATTTTATTGATGCCATACCACTTTTCTTAACATTATTCTTATACTAATTTCCTTTAAAAAAATGTCTTATGTAAAGGAAAACAAGTTCTTGTATGATATTGTTGCAAATGGTCGCAATGGAATTGATGTTGACAAGTAAGTTGATTTTTTCTGCCTTTCTTTCTTCTCTTGTGTAACTATTATTGCTGCCCAATATCTTGAAGGTAGAACTATAATTAATTCAACAATTGGCAGGTTTGACTACATTGTTCGTGATTCACGTGCTTGTGGCCTAGGGTGCAACTTTCAGCCTGAGAGGTGTTTATTCTATTTTCTGTGGCTTTATCCTGTTGTGCTGGATGTTCTGAGTTTGACAATTTGCACATCACTGCATAAATGCTTGCTTCTTCTTGAAATATGCAGCACTGACTTCATTCCATGGCCGTTTTCTCTAAATGGGGTTGACAATTATAACTAACTTTAATTTTTATTGAATCTGCAGATTAATGGAGACCATGCAAGTTATGGATGATGAAATATGTTATCGTGCTAACGATTGTTAGTATTTACTGAAAACTTAATATCATTATTGTGTGAAAGACTGGAAGTCAATTGTACATTATCCCTGTTTGATATGTTGGTCAGATCTGACAATTCACAAGTTATTTGCAACCCGAGCTGATTTGCATCGAACAGTCTATACACATGCAAAAGTAAAGGTGAGTGTTTTCGCAAAATTTAATGATATGAAAACAAATTATTTTTGTGTTTCAAAGAAAAAACATATTAATTTTATGTTGTTTCCTTTGTCAGGCAATAGAATTAATGGTCGTAGATGCACTGGTGAAAGCAAATCCATATCTTGATCTTGCATCCTCAATTTATCAACCATCTGACTTTTGGAAGGTCTAGAGTATATTGCAAGTTTTTGGTGTTGGGATTTTTTTATTTGGCCTTATGGAACTGTCACTCTTTCTTAAATTTCAGTTAGATGACTCAATTCTTAAAATAATTGAATCTTCTTCCGGGCAAGAGATGAAGGAATCCAGAGACTTGATCCTACGGATCCGCAGAAGGGATCTATACCAGGTACTCTAGCTGATAAATTTTTGAGTAGGGTTCCTTACTCCTTACCTCTTTTTCTTCTGTGATTGTCTTTTTGATTGGAGGAGAGAATTTAATATTCATGTGTAGATATACCAATAATACAAGCTTTGAATATGCTGACAAGTTGATTAAACCATATCTTAATTTTTGTAGTTCTGCAATGAATTTTCTGTTCCAAAGGAAAGACTGGAACACTTCAAAAGCATAACACCCCAAGATATTGTTTGTTCCCAGGTTGAAAAAAATCATATGTCAATAAGATTAAATGTCCATTTTCACTCTGTATATCCATTATATGTTTGTATGCTTTCTTTTTTTGGGTGGCTTGCGATACTCACAATATCTAAATGCCAGTTTTTTTCTGAACAGACAAATGGGGTTACTATAAAAGAAGATGATGTCGTTGTGAGCAATGTTAAAATTGATTTAACACGTGGAAGGGAAAACCCTCTTGAAAGGTACTTGCTAAAGAAACAATTATTTGAGTTAAAGAAACAATTATTTGAGTTAAAGAACTTCGGTATTACTAAACATTTGCTAACTCCGGACATAATATGACAAGTGATCTTTCTTCTTTTATGCATGCACTTCCTGATCCAGAATTAAATTTTTCAAGGTACTGAATTCACTTATATTCTCCAGAGTCATCTTTCTATTTTTTTAATACATTGATTAATAAATACCAATTATTATTTCTTAACTAGGAATTGTAACTATTACAAACTGTGAACACTTTCAGCAAGTTATCTTATAATGGTGTATGGCAACTAGCTGCAAATCTTGTGGTGCTGATAAAGTAATATTGTACAAAGGCAGACAAAAATAGTAAAAATTTGGAGGAAATATAGTATCTGTAATAAGTTTTTTATTTTGGTTCAATAAGTGGTTAGGAGGTGATTACAAGTGCTGACTTTTGTCATCCTTGTAAAAAGCATAATCAAGTCATAATATTTCAAATTACATCTTGTATGGTAGGAAGTATATGCTTATCACTACCATTTATAATTTGTTAAAATTGTTTTGGTTCCTAGTCTTCTTATTGCATGAAGTATACATGGCAGTGGGCTCAACAACTTTATATTATCGTATCAGGACTATGAGAGCAAAGAAAAATTTCCGATCTCAGACGACCGCATCAGTCATTTGTTGCCAGCATTTTACGAAGACGTACTAGTGAGAGTATACAGTAAGAAGCCTGAGCTGGTTAGTAACAACAAAAAGAAAAATAGTACCTTCACAATTCGGAATTGTTTCCAATATGCACTTTATGCCCAAGAACTGATTTTTCAACATTAATCGTAGGTGGAAGCTGTTTCTTCAGCCTTTGAAAATTATCAGATTAAGACGTTCGGAAGGAAAGCACAAGTACACGGAACTCCTTCGAAGAAACGCCATACGAATGGAATCCACTACTTGAACAATCTTCATCATACGCCGTGAGCGGCTCATATGTCTGGCCGCAATAACAAATATAGTAGTTCATATCATGCACTCTACGTTGCGTTGTCTAGAGTTTTTGTGGGAACTTTTGTACGTGCCTAGATCTTTTGTTTTGTACGTAAGTGCTGACGGATGTCTCTTATTGGTTATTTTGCTAGGACAGAAAATTTCAATCTGGTAAGAAAAAGCTTCCAAGCTAGTAGATTGTTAGCAATTTGATGGTTAGTATATGATATGAAGGATGCTATTGATTGTAACCATAACTAAAAAAAGAAATGAAGGATACTGTCGAGGAGTTCTGTATAAGTAAATATCATCCATCTTAGACCGCTACATTCTATTTCTTGGGACATAATTTGCTAACCAAAATATTGTTGGGTCTTTGGCAAAAATGGGAGATAGGAATATTGGAATCTGTTGGGCTTTTCCTCCTTAAATGTTATCAAGGTCCAATGTCTTTGCCTGGCTCAAGAAATTCTAATATCTGCTTTTGATATTTTAGAATATTTCCTCCTCTCTTATATATACTTGTATTATATGAGAGGTTAGGGTTAGATACTTTGAGATAATTTTAAGAGCACTTTTAGGGAGAAGTTTGAGTGTTAGACCTCCTTAGAAAAGTTTGAGAGAATATTACCATTGAAGGTGAGATTTAAGTGTACCGCCATTTGTTGGTGAAGTTTGATATTTTGTAACCCATTATTTGATTTTGAATTAGTGTCTCGTGACTTTTTTACCTGTTCACATTAGAAAAGGTTTTTTCGCGTTAAAATCTTTCGTGTTTTTCTCTGTCTCTCTTCTCTCTGTGTTTTTAGTTTTCCTGTTGCGCTGGCTGACCTAGAGATATACGCTGACCTCTAATTGTGATTGCCGAGCTCCGAGTTTGCATGTGACTTTCGCAAAGGTTTATTAGCTGATATTGAGGTATCAAGTTCTTCCCAATAAAATCTACTTCAAATAATTAACTTTGGACATATCTTGTTTATTTTTGGCCAAAAGTTTTAACTAATGCACAATGCCATATGCCTATTAATTCTTTTGTTATCAATGGCGATTGGGATTTGACTTGTTTAAGAAAATTATTCGTCAATATGAAGTTAACAAGTTTAAGCAAATTCCACCGCCTTTAAATATTTGTAGAATATGAAAAAAATTCTACAAAACCCGGTATCAAAGGTTAGCATTTCTGACTTGGAATAGAAGTAATCCCGAGTGGTAAATAGACATAAAAGGTTAGCATTTCTGACTTGAAATAGAAGTAATCCCAAGTGGTAAATAGACATAGTGTGGCATAACAAGTTCAAATCAATGTCATTACCTGTGATATCTTGCAGTAGTTATGAATTGCCACCTTGCTATATTGGGTGGAAGAATATATTGGCTGCAGTCTATTAATTGGCATCTTAAGTTCGATTGAAGTAATAAATGGGCTATTACATGTTGACATCTACATAGATGGCTTAATTTGGAGATTTACGACCAAAAATTATGTTGCCACCAAATTCAATTTGATACCTCTCTTGAAATATAAGAATTTGTTTATAATTAAAACTTACAAGTCAGGATTTTGCACAAATCCCAAACAAATTATAATAAATGAGCTTTCATTGTATTAAAACATAATAAATCGTATGTTAGCTCGTATAACACTACATTCACAAAATTCACCTAAAATTACTAGCACGACAATACTCTTAAATTTCATCTTTTGAATTTTTTTTAATAAGATATTATGTTTACTTTTTTTCATACATGCTCTACCTATTTCTTTCCATCATTATTAGATTATAGTCTCAATAGACATTTATCATTTCTTTTTTCTCTTTAAGATTGTGATCTCCCGAAAAAGAGTGAGTAATATAGACATAATATCCTTTTTTTTTTAAGGGATAACTTCATTTTCACCCCAAGTGATTAAATGGTTTATCACTTGATCCACTGTGCTTTCAAATTTGTCACTTAGACCCAGTGTTTAAAAATTCGGCCTAGCCATCGACTCGACCGATACCAGGGGTCACAGGGTCACTTCGCTGATCCGATTTTATATATTAAAAAATTAAATATATATCCTATATGAAAAATTCAAAAAAAGTCAAATCACCCATCATCAAACATTCAAACTATACTTAACGTAATTCAACCAATTATTCAATATTACACAAGTTAATCAAAGTATCAAACTATCAAAGTATAAAACACATATTCCAATATAGTTAATGAAGAGTTATATCATTAAACTCAGGCCCTCTTTGTCCTTCTCACGCACCTACAATAGCATGTGAAAGGAGATCCCCTACTAAGAAAGCGACGGAGGAGAGGCGGCGGCACGACGAATCAACGGTGGGAAGAGAAGAACCAGTACAGCGAATGAGATTACCGGATCAATGAGACCAGGTTTGGGTATGGGAGAGAAGATTGGAAGAGAAGAAGAACAATGATTCAGATTTCAAATTTAGTTCTAGATTTAAGCATCAACGAGTTTTTATTTTATTTTATTTCTTTTACACACCAAACGACGTCTTTTCGTGTGTAATTTTTATTTTTTAAACATGCAATGATCCTCTCTGGCCCGGGTGTCCCAGGTTCAACCGAGGGGTTTTAGGGGTCAGAGGGTTCAACGTTCATCCAGGGTCTAACTGCTGACCACAACCCTCAAAGAGAGGGGGTCGGTGACCCGGCGAGGTCGATCCCAGGGCGGGGTTGGATTTTAAACCACTGCTTAGACTCATTGTGATTACAAAGAAGTATCATTTAACCCCTTGTGATTTCAAAGTATCACGTATAGTCATTGTGATTATAAAAATGTATCACTTAGATCCCTTGTGATCTTTTATACACGCATGCGTGCACACGCACACACACATATATATATATATATAATCTTTTTTAAAATGTATTATATAGATATGTGATTAACGATAAAACTAAATAAATTATTTTATTTTATTTGAATTAAATTCATGAGATGATATGCATTTAAATCTTGTGGTATTATATTTTTATAGTAAAAATAAATTTAAGCTAAATATTTATTTATTTATTTCATTTGATATAGTTATAATATCATATTATATAAAATAAAAGTTAGAAAAAATAAAGAGTTTTATATTTATAAGGTCTAAGTGACATATTTTTATTACCATGATAGATGTAAGTGAATGTTTGAAGTCACATAAGGTTAAATAATAAATTTATTTAACCACGATAAATATGAATTATAAGTTTGAAACTATAAAAGATTAAGTAATATATCATTAAATCACAAAGGGATAAAAATGATATTTTCTTTCTTTTTTTTGGGTAAGCAAAATTTCCCTTTTTTAAAAGCACTTTTAAGAAACTTCTAATATTTATATAGAGAAAAAAGTATCTAATCTTACTTTAGATAATTCTGTCTAATGTTCATTGAAACGACGTTATTTTGGGATTGAAAAATAAAAAAATTAGAATGATAAAGATTATTATAACCCTGAAATAAATTAAAATTTCAAAAATACTATAATTTTCGTCTCAAAACAACATTGTTTTGGTGAACATTAAATAAAGTTATCTAAAATAACTTTATAAAAAACAAACCCATTTATATATTTGAAAATACTTGTTACATATTTTGACCTCAGCAATTCAAAGAACAAAAAAAAAATAAAAAAAAATAAAAAATGAAGAAGAAGTAAAGCGTGTCACATTTGTCTACTAAAAAAAAAGCTGTCACATTTTAGAGAGATTTATTAAATTGCGCGAAGCAGGGGATCACACTCTACCTACTTAAAACTTAACGGAACCAGCCTACGGAAACAGAGACGTCAGATATAGGGCACTGGAAGATCATCAACCATCTTAAAAACCAATTTCACCTCTCACTCTCTCAACCTCAATTTCACATAACAATGGCTGATTCCGCCTCTTCTCCTGCAACCCATGGTCTAGAACCCGACCCGAAACACTCTGAATCTGGAGCTCCTAACACCATCCACAACCAATCCGATCCAGTTCTCCCATCAACGCAATCTTCAGCACCATCATCCACACCCCTTGCGCCAAACCCTAATCCCAATCCATCTTTAGCCTCTCCACAGTTACTGCCGCCTCCGCCGCCTACTATATCATATGCTGCTGGGGTTCCGCCGCACGTCCCCGGCGTTCTCCCTCCGTCAATGCCGTCATTCAGGCCGCTGGCTCCCCAGTTCTCTCCCTTGCCCACTCCAGGTGGCGCGCCAAACCTAACATATCAAAATCCAGCTGTTCCGCCGCCTGGTGTGGCCAGCGCTGCCGCGCCGGTTCCGCATATGCCACCGATGTTGTCGTATCAGGTTCCTCCCGGCCAGCCAACTAACCCGGCCCTGCGACCGTTTGTACCGTTGCCAAATGGTTACGCAGCAGCTCCACCACAGGGGACCATGACTCTCCCGGGTGGGTCATTCCGTCGTATGATATTTTATTGTTTGTGTGATTGAAATTGATTTTAATGCTTCTTCATTGGTTGTTCCAAGGTTTTGGACTTTGGAGTTAATTTTATCGATGTGTTTCTTTATTACTTGCGCCGTGATTAGCTCTTTAACTCTGTGTGACATTTTATATTAGTGATGTGAAATGTGTGGAGACTGTTGTTGAGTGTGTGTAGTAGCACTAAAGAAGACTGTTTTGGCTTTGATTGATAGCTGTAACCTTAATTTCAAGTCATGGTTTTATAAACGGGGATGAGTTTTTGTTTTTGTTTTGGGTGAGTTTGGAGAGGTTTAGAAAGTTCTTCATGGTTGGACAAGGGGTATCGATGACAGGATGTTTTCTCCTACAGTGTCTTGATTGATTTCGGTGAGAAAGGTTGGAAGGCTTCATATTGCTTAAAGACACCCCCCTCTACAACTCATTTTTTGGTATGCACATATTTGCCTGGTTTTTTGCTTGTCTTTTACTAAAATTGGAAATGAAGCTTGCACAGAGTGATATTAACAATGAAAAAAAAAAAAACATTTGTTCTTTTGTCGATCTAAATAATGTATGGTTGTGTCATGCTCGTTTTAGTAGGCCACTTTCTGCTAGTTATAAGAGTACTTTCCCTTCAATGGTTTTATGAATTCCAGAAGCCGACCATGTTTGCAACTGAATGCACGTTGACCTTGTGTCATGAGGTATTGCAATCTTTTCAATTCTCTTTTATCTCTATTGCAGTTTCATTCCATTTTATATGCTGCAACATGGGCTGCTATATAAAAAAACCTCATAATTCAACTAGAATTTCTTCTTATTAAACCATGCATGCATGAGATTATGAAAGTTACTATTCGCAATTGGTGGATGGGATAGTTTGAGAAGCCTGCTATATTGCAAGTGGTCACCAAAGGTAAGCACTTTTAACACATCCGTGAATTTCAAACTTGCTAGTATTTCTTATTGTTATCTTCAGGTTGTCATTCAGCTGGTGATTGTTGGCTGTGCTTCCATCTCTATTATGCTTTTGATGTGTGGTAACAGCATTCCATTGTTTTTGTCGCATTTTTTCCCCATATATCTTTAGTGTTGTATTGATTAGTTTATGTTTACATTCACTCATGGCGTGCTCTAATATATCCAGCATAGATGTTTTTCTTCTCTGTTCAGGAATTTCTCGTTATCCCCCTCCATATGGAACAATGGTTCGTCCTATATACCCTCCACGCCCTCCTGGAGCAGTTAATGTAATTCCAGTATCACGACCACCTGTTGCAGGGGTCCCTCCAGTTCGCCCTATTATGCCTCCTGTTGTCAGACCTGCGGTTGCTCCAAGTGTTACTCCAGCTGAGATGCCACAAACCACAGTTTATGTTGGCAGGATTGCACCAACTGTGGAAAATGAGTTCATGCTCTCTCTCCTTCAAGTAAATTTCTAAGTTTTGTCTTTTCTCTGGGGAGGGATGATTTTTTAATTAATTGTTCTCTTTCCAACCTTTCATTATATCTACTAGACAATATGCATTATTGAATCATTGGGTATAATTATAAATACGCTGATTGTGTTATTTCTTTGAAGTTATGTGGAGCTATCAAGAGCTGGAAACGTCCTCAAGATTTATCAAGTGGAACTCCCAAGGGTTTTGGGTTTTATGAGTTTGAGTCTGCCGAAGGGGTTCTCCGTGCCTTGCGTCTCCTTACTAAATTGAATATTGATGGGCAAGAACTAATGGTATGTCTTCATCTTTTATTATTTTTTCTTTGTATTTTATGTTATACTGCATTTAAGTCTTCGCCTTTTTATTTTACTGTGAGATTGAAGTAATCAATATGATATTTTGCTTTTCGGCACGACTATTATAGTCAATGGATCTGAGTCATTTTAATGATCTGAAATTTGATTGAATTACTTGATAATTGTTTGCCACTGGTAAGTAAACAGAAAGGTCGGTACTTCCTTTGTCGTGTAATGGTTTCTTGATATCCCTTCAACATGATGGTATGTGCTTCACATATTCCTGTGGAATTTTTCTTTTGTTTGCCTTTTATTTTTAAGGATGGGAGGGTTTGTTTGTGGAGGATATGTAAAATCTATTATTGGCATCAATCTGAGTCATTCTAGTAAGAGATTTGGGCCTAAACTAGTCATCATTATTTTCTTACAGGTTTTTCAGCCTATTTGTTCATTAGTCCTTACTCCTTACTTACAGACTCTGAAACTGACTGGCATTTTAAATGAGAATTTGCTTTAATATGTTATATTTTTGCTATGGCTTTACATAGTTTTCGGTTTAAGGTTTTTTTTTTTCCGGGGGGTGGGTGGATGGGGAGGGCAGCATTTGGAAGGTTTCATGAAGCGAAGACCCATGTTCCTCTGTTATACAGGGATCTTAAACATTTGGCACATACCAATATTCTGATGTTCTAACTTTCTCCCAAATATTTGGGAGTTGGGACACAGCTTAGAGTGAAGAATGAAATATTTATTAGTTATAATTGGAGTTTTGGAAACTATTTCATTGCATAAATCATGCTTTTTCATTAATTCTACGTTTAGTTGGTATATAGCTTATGTTTTAGACTTGACTGTTTGCTTTGTGCAATGGAGGCTGTACTCTATAATTGAACGTTCTTACCATTTTGGGCATTCATATAAATTCCTCTTATTGCATCAGCAACTTTCCAAATAAAAAGTGTACAAAATTTCTTTGAATAAGGCACATTGTTGTTATTTTAAAAGTCATGTTGGCATAAATTATTTTCTTTTCCCTGGTTGTACGTCCGAGACTTTTAGTCATTTATCTGCTATATTTTGCTGACAGGTCAACGTGAATCAAGCTATGAAAGAATACCTGGAGCGCTATGTTCAGAGAAAAACTGAGAACTCGAAGAAAACAGAAATTCAGGCAGCAAGAGTTGAAAAAGACGATGAAGCTGAACAACCTCCTGATGCAAAGGAGAATGCAAAGCCTGATGTAGAGCACTCCAATAAAGAGGATAATGATTCAGGGAACAAGGATTCCCACGATGTGGCAAACTTTGGAATTGTCACAGATGAAGATAGGGAAACTGATCGAGAGGCTTTAGAAAAGATCACGAAGATGATTGAGGAGAGATTGAAGACCAGACCTTTGCCTCCACCACCTGCACAGCCACCTGGTGATGATTCTGTAAATTTAACTTCAGAGCAACCTGCTACTACAAGAGATGGAGAATCTGATGTGGATACAGAGAAGAATGGTAAGGGAAAAAGACTTCGATTGCTATGTCTATTATCTGTTTAGTGTTGACACAACAGGGCTATATTTTACCATCAGAATACATTTTGTCCTCGGAGACAGTCCTATCTTCTTTTTTTCTTTTCTTATCTTATCTTTTTGAAATAATTATAAGGAGCTTTGCTTTTCAAATTATGTAGAAACAGCTGAAGATAAAAATGAGAAAGAGGCAAACAGTGATAACAAACCAATCAATGAACATGATAGGGCTGAGACCCCTGATAGAAGACATGATAGGAAAAGCAGAGAGAGAGACCGAGATAGGGAACAAAAACGAGAAAAAGAAAGAGAACTTGAAAGATATGAAAGAGAAGCAGAGCGGGAACGTGTTCGGAAAGAGAGGGAACAAAGAAGGAGGGTTGAGGAGTCTGAGCGTCAGTTTGAAGCATATTTGAAGGAATGGGAGTATAGAGAAAGAGAGAAAGAGAAAGAACGCCAGTATGAGAAGGAGAAGGAGAAGGAAAGGGAACGCAAACGGAGAAAGGAGATACTTTATGAAGAAGAAGATGAGGATGAGGATTCTAGGAAGAGGTGGCGTAGAAGTGTGCTAGAGGAGAAGAGAAAGAAGAGGTTGCGTGAAAAGGAAGATGACCTGGCTGACAGACAAAAAGAAGAGGAAGAAATTGCCGAGGCCAAGAAGAGAGCCGAGGAGGATCAACAATGGAAGCAGCAGAGAGATGCATTGAAGCTATTATCAGAGCATGTGGTAAACAATGGTGATGAAATTAAGGCTATTGAAGAGATTACTAATGAACTCAAAAGTATTGTTGCTGAACAAGATACTGTAGCTGATTATGGTCTTGAAGTTTGTATTGGTAATTTTCATAAATATTCTCAATTTGCGTTTTCCTCTCTCTCTCTCTCATATTATTAAAGGTTGTGATGCTTTACATGACAGGTGATGGTAATTCACTAAATGGCATGAAAGATGAAGTGGCCATGGCATCTGTTGCTACAACTGATACACAGTCAAGTGAGAATGCTCCTACAAAGAAGTTGGGATTTGGTCTAGTTGGGTCAGGGAAAAGAACAGCTGTCCCTTCTTTTTTCCATGAAGAGGAGGATGATGATGCACACAAGGACAAAAAAATGAGGCCTTTGGTTCCAATTGATTATTCAACCGAGGAATTGCAGGCTGTTCAAACTACTGCTTCTGGGCCAACTCCACCAAATTTGGCTGCTGCTGCAGAATTTGCAAAGCGTATATCCGGTACCAATTTCAAGGAAGAGAAGCTGGATGGGGAACGGGATAGGAGTAGGCGTTCAAATGAGAAGTCTAACCACCGGGACAGGGACAGGATTGACGAAGATAGCACTCACAAAAGAGATGAAAACAAGGAGAAAATTCCTGACCGTGGCCGGGATCGGGATCATGGGTGTGACAGACTTAAGACTTCTGATAACAGAAGGCTTTTGGATGCAAAACAGTTAATTGATATGATACCGAAGACCAAGGAGGAGTTGTTCTCATTTGAGATAGACTGGACAGTGTATGACAAGGTACATGATCCTTTTCTGCAGATTTTGAACTGTGTAATTATTTGTTCCTGTACTAATCAAAAACATATTTAAGCCATTTGTTTTGTGCTTTTTGGGAATATAGAAACATAAGAATATAAGAATGACTAGAGTCCGGAGAGGGACCTTCTCATTTTTTTAGGAAATTAATCGATGTTCTATTTTATTTTATTTTGAAATTTTATTCTTTAAGATTTCCTTTATTTTTTTCAAAAAGGTTGCACACTCATACAGCTCGTGTTTTGGGGTTTGCCCTTTTTCCTCATACAGCTCTTGCACATTAACTTTTTTAACGTTCAAGCTCCTTTTGTTTGTACAGGTTTTGATTGTTTCGGTTTATGTAGGCTGAATAGTAGAGAAGGTAGTTTTATGTCTAAATCTTTGGTTTTATATTATGTTCTTTTTCAGCATCAATTACATGAAAGAATGAGACCGTGGATTTCAAAGAAGATCAGAGAGTTTTTGGGTGAAGAAGAAAATACATTGATAGATTACATTGTCTCCAGCACACAAGAACATGTGAAAGCATCTCAAATGCTAGAGCGTCTTCAGATCATTTTAGATGAAGAGGCTGAAATGTTCGTTCTCAAGATGTGGAGGATGCTTATCTTCGAAATAAAGAAGGTAGAGACAGGGCTTGCTTTGAGGTCAAAATCATGATTTGTTGATTATTGTGTTTCCTCCTTCCCTTTCCTTTCCTGATGGATTCATATTTTAACCACCATCCCTTGGTATGTCTTCACCCTAAGTGTAAAATGGCTGCCTAAACATAAACGCTCTAATGTAATTTTTCAGTCTGTATTGTTTCAAGATTCAATCAATCATCTGGATAAAGCCCCGTTTTCTTTATGCATGAGAATCCGGTGGCAATTTTTGTCATGTGAATAGTTAGAACTTTGGTTTTGTTGATGACAGTCCTAGACTCCTGGTCCTTTCATTTTTATTTTTATTTTTTTTAAAGAGAACAGTCCTTAATCTTGTGTTAAGAAATAGTGTCATCAAAGATGGTATGCCCTCCCGTATGTAGACCAGTCAAGATGTTGTTTAAAACTGTCAAACTTGATTTTTGTTACCTGATTATTTTTCTAGAATCTTATGACTGGTTTGGTCACACTCGTCGATTCAAGGTGGCTTCTTTGGTGTACCGTTGGTAAAAGGATCACAGGTGGTTCTTTTAATCTTGCTTGCTATACAGATTTTTATAAATATAAACTAGGTCTTTTTATCATTTATGTTTCAACCTTGCATTTAAAACTCTGCTTGAACCGGCTGGTTCAACCTGAAAATCGGTAAACTGGTACCTTTGCCGGTTCGAGTTACAAACTGGATCGGATATGCATTCAAACTGTTTTGGCTCGGTTATAATCGGGTTCAACCGGCCAGTTTTGAAAAAACAGGGACCCACTGGGTTGTTAGTAATACAGCCGCTAATGGTAGAAAAGCAATGCAAGTTGGTACAATTTTATCCGAAAAGGTTTATAAATTGATTTCTTTTTCATGTCCTGGTTGACGTGGAACATAAGCTTCCCACCTTTGACCAGATATATTGGTAAGCTCTTTCCCACTCAGTGAGAACAGAACGAAGCCTGGAATTTGCCACTGCCTGAAGCTTTTCTCCTTGTTGCTTGTGAAGTGGTTGCACATCCTGGAGCAATCTTCTTGTCATCATCCTCTTTTTTTGTCTCCTCGTCTATGATTTTGGACATTGTTTCTGATGTAGGAACTTCACCTTCTTCATTTCCAACCTTGTTGGTCCAGTGCAAGTGCCTCTTGGAGGGTATGTCTTGAGTGTCTTGAGGGGTTAAGGTTGAGGTGGTATCCATGACTAGTGTCTTCATCTGACAAAGGAAAAAAACAAGCTTTAAAAATGGTTGGTAAAGAGAGACAGAGACAGAGAGAGAGAATAAATCTGGTTTCTTCTTTTTACTATCTGGGATAAATATGTTGGGCTTTTAAGTTTAATTAATTGATTCTTTGTAATTCTAGCTATCTTCCCCTTTGATATATTGAGTGCAAGAGAATCCTGACAAAAGAAACATATGCAGCCCCAACATCCACGGTTTCTTGATATTAATTCTTAATTATTCTTGGATCGATATTTGTTAAATACATTAGTTTTGATTTTCTGTTTGTGAAAATTGATATACTTACTTGGGTTGTTTAAGTTAATGCCATCCAAAGTATTCAAATTTCATGTCCATGACTTGTTTGAGGAAATGCCAAAATCAGCATTTGTTATTATTTTAAAATCCAGTTGAACCACTGACTCAATGATCTAGTACTTTGACCGAGTCGATAACCAGTCCGAGTTTTAAACACTAGTTTCAATTTTACATTTATTCATTTATTATCTGTCATTTTATCTTACTCAATCCTTGAGAGAGGCATTCTTGGAAGCTACGGTTACTACCACTACTAGCGCCTGACTGATGTCCAACACCATCTTCTCTAACCCACCACCGTGACTAGTGTTGTCTTTACCAAATCTGAAGCTGCACCTGAATTTGATGATCGCGGTCATGAAGTTCAACAGGCAATACATAATGGAATCCATGAACACGGCACTTGTCAACACCCTCAACCGAATGGTCATCGAAAATAGTTCTCTAGCACCATTGCCGGCCCGCATGATGTGATAGGTAAAAAATATTGAAGAGTTGATCATATGTATTAAAGGAAAAGAAAAAAGATCGAATGTAAAATGAGAAAGATGGGGGAAAAATGAATATATCTAGCATCAATGAGAATGTTATGATCCGAGACCAATAAGAAATACTTGTATGGTATACTCCATTCCCAAAGAAGTGTTTCTTTTTTTTTAATCTCAGATCGTAGTTTTCTGACAAGTACTTGTGTGATGTGAGATTAAATACTCGAGTACTATTACACTTGGAAGACCCTCTCAACATTTTTTTTCCCCAGAGGTTTTAACTTTGGTCTTTTTATGGAAAGCGTGGTTTCTTGCCAGAAGAAGTATTTGACGTCACACCAAGGATAGCACCCAATAAGCAAAATGCCATCTGCACAGCAAGTTACATGGCCTGGAAAGGCACTTGATATCTCGTTACAAGCGAAATATTTTACATTTGGTGCAACTGAAATAAGGGCTTAAAACTTTTGTCTTGGAGACAGGAAAAGAAGGGGAAAATCTGAATATTTTCTTGATTAATAATAATAGACATGATACAGTTTTATTTTATTAATACAGACAAATGAATTACAATAATTTGTACAAGCTTCATCGTTAAAAACAGAAGCTGATCAAGTTATTAGCTCTCTAAAACATGAGCTAATATCAAGAGTAAAAATAACAAAATAACAAGCACATTTATACAACAGTATCTAGAATTCATAATTTTAAAACAAATCAAAGAATACCCAGGTGGAAAAAAATACTGGGTTACCACACATGAATGGATTGTTCTTGTGGAATAGCTGAAGTCTTGAATCCAGAGGGCCTCCTTTCGTAAAAATCATGGAGGACCCTGATGAGGGCACTGGCCTTCTTGCTTGCTCGAGACGTGCCTTCACTGATTTGGGAATATAAAGATCCCATAAGAGAAGGGTTCTTCACTAACTGAGCAACCACATCTACTCCTCCATTTATTGATAGAGAAAGCAATAAAGACACGCAGTGCTCCTTCCCCACCCTTGAAGTGGAAGAATTCAAAATTTCAACCGCTACATGCAAAGCTCCAAATTGAAGAATTGCTAATGTTCCATCACTTTTCTCTGCCAGACTTGCTAGAATTGCTAGCGTATCTGTGACAAGGTCTTCTTTTTCACATGATTTTAAGATGTGAACGAGTAAAGGAATTGATCCAGCAGCAAGCACCCTCCTATGGTTTTCAGGGTGCTTTAGGAGGCCAAACATCGCAACCAAGCCATTCTTTTTACCTCGATCAGAACCATCTTCGATGAGCCTGATCAATGATGGGATTGCTTCTGGTTCCTCCCCTATCAATTTCCCATACTCAGCATTTGAAGCAAGGTAAAACAACACAGCAGCAGCATGCTGACGAGCTTCAATCTTTAGCCCCTTCTTTAATACCCCCACAATCAATTCCAATCCACAATTCTCAACCATCTCATCTCTGCTCTTGTGGCATTTTGAGAGGTTCAAAAGGGCTGCAACGGCATTCTCTTGTGCCGATGAATCCCTCGATGAAAGCAACTTCAACAAAAGAGGGACCGAACCAGCTTCCACCAAACAAGACCTGCTAAAAATGCTTGTTTTGGAAAGAAGCCTTATCTCAAATGCAGCTCGGTTCTTCTCTTGTACTGCTCCATTCTCAAGCCTGCCACTGAGAAAAACAGCCACCATTTTCATGGCTTCCTCTGCTGCTAAACTTCCAGGCTGAACTGTCCTAGTGATGTCACGATTCCGACGACCCATGTCAGCAGCAAAAGGAATCCCATTCTTAAAGCAATACTGCTGAATCAACCTCCGAAGCACTAAGTTTGGAACCAATTCAGTGCTGCTAAGCCTTTTACCTGTCTTGGGACATATTGCATTTCCACTTCTGAACCATTTGAGAATTGAAGAACGATCATAAGTATGACCTGTCTCTATTGTCACAGGATCACTCATCAAATCCAGAGAGATTGGACATCGAAAATCATCAGTGTTGAGGCAACTCAAATTCATCTCACTCTCAATTCCTGCTTCAGATTTCTTGTTACCTTCTTCACCATCATCAATAACTTCCATCACCACGCACCTACAGTAGCTCATGAACCCCATTAAACTGCTCAAAAAACCCACCTTTCTCTTTCCCTCATTCAACCACTCAAACCCAATTTCACCATCCAAAAACTTCACCTCCTTGTTACACTCACTCCACCTACAAACCCCAATATAATCAAGAACCCACTTAAGATCACCCTCATTCGGAGCGACCCGGTTCTGAAACCGGTTCAAAACCGACATAACAACCATCACAGCCCGTTTATCATCGGGCTCAACTTCAAACCTACCCTTCCTCGCTTGCTTCATCAGCAGCACAACCTGCTCTCTTGCTTCCTCCGAAACCTCAACAGAACCGAAAGGGAAAACGTCCAGAGCCGTGGCCATGGATCCGGATAAGACCCGAAACTGATTGGCGACCCGCTCCGACTCCATTAACATCAGCAACCGGGCACCCTCTCGAGCAGAGTCTTCCAGCAAGAAACGAAGCTTCTGGAAGGCCAGATGGAGCTCCGACAAGATCAGGGTCGCCGGATCCGGTAGACCCGACTTCAAGTCTCGGATCTCATAGAGGAACGGTTGGAGAAGCTGAATCAAACGAACGGCGTTTCTCGCGTTTCGCTTGTTACATGGGAAGAATCTATATTGGAAATTCGAAATGTCGTGAGAGAGAGTGATGAGAGAAGAGACAATGGTAGAGAGAGAAACGTCCTCGCAGGGATGAACCGCCGGGAACGACAGTATCCGGCGATCCGACCCTTTTATTTTTCGGATCATAGAAAGAAAGAAACAAAAGAAGAAGTTCAAAGGTTTTGTGTTGGGATTTAAGTCGTTGAGTTTTGTTTTGTCTTGCTTTCATGAGGACGTAGGTTTCGGATATTTATAAGAAGGGAAGTGATGGACACGTGTCGAGATATGGTTTGGTGTTGGACCTGCTGTTAATGGAGGCACGTGGGGTTTTGTGGATCTGTGAAAATGAGGTTTCGGAAGAAGTGACGCGTGGCGCGATAAATGTGGAAAAATATCGTGCTTTTGAAGGTGCGTGGAAAGATAGAGTCGACAGCAACTGAGGTTTACAACGTGGAATTATAAGTTCAACGTCAACATTACAATTTTTTTTAAAAATTGCGGCATTGGGTTGGCAATTATTTAGATTTTAGATTAATTAATTATATCCAATTTCTGGTCAAACCTTTTCTCTTTTTTGTATTTTTGGTCTTTAGATCTAGCTTATGTTAGGCTTTGGTTGGGTCAATGGCCCATATTGCTAACCCATAATGTTCATTTAAGAGTGGACGTTTGTCCAAGTTCAAGAGGAACCATAACTTAAAAAAAAAAAAAAAAAAAAAAGAGGAACCATAAGTAACCAAAAAAATGCTACCCATAGTCTCCGGAAATCGTTGTTTGCAGAAATAGTAACGACGTATTGTTTTTAATTTTCGTTTTATTATTAGGTATTGATTTCATTAAATAGAGAGTAAGTTTAGAAAAATGTGTTGTTGGTATTCTTCTTATTTGCAAAAGAAGTAAAATGGGGTGTCAAATGTGCAGGAAAATGAAGAAATTGTATACTAAGAAGCAGTGGTGGACCTATTCGCTTGCAAGTGAATGCAAGTGCACCCATAAAGTTTAGTTCCAGGACCTTTTTTATACTCCTTTAATGGTCGAAAAAATTGCACCTGTCATTTTCAACTTCCCCGTCTTCCTCATTGTTTGCGCGTTGTTGTACACGCGCTTGCTTGACACACATGTGAGTGTTCTAATACCACTGTGTCCAAAGTTGATTGGTTCAATGATTTTACTATTTTTAACGTTAATTATTTTATTTTATTTTGAATATTTAACGTTAGTTATTTGTCCATGTCTATTCCAGGACCTTATTCCTTCGTCCATCACATTGCTAGTTTTTGGTAGAAAAGGCATAACAAAGGAGGAAATAGTGACCCTTTTGGGTGCACATATTGTTAGTGTTGCATACTATCATTTCTTTTCTACTAGACTTGGTGGAGTACCTGATCAGTGGTGAACCTACTGTTGCGCACTTGCCCACAAGTGTGCAAGTGATCGCAATTTTATTTTATTTTTAATGTATTTAAAATTTTGTTTAAAAAAAAAATTCAAAAACCTTGCCCCCGAATCCCAAAATCCTGACAATAAATATGCAGATATAAATAAAAAAATTTAGGTCCGCCGTTGCTAAGAAGGAAAGATTATTGTTATTTACTAAACATTCAGTTTATTGTTATTGTTAATACATCCATGGACAAGCAACAATAACATGGATAAAATAATTTAGAAGTGGTTATATAATCAATTATTATTTTAAAAATTCTTGGACTTTGTTTCGTCTAGTTATCTCTTCCTAAGAATTTTGTTTTTATTGAACTAAGTGTAAAATTCATAATTTAGAAGTGTTTCCTCTCTTTTTTTAATTAACTTTTATTACAAATAATTGTTATATTTAAATATTAATTTGTATTAAATAAGTGTTTCCTACTCCCTTTCTATTTCTATTCACATTTTATCGGATCAAACATATGATGCTAGATATATTCTAATGATAACAAACAATGGATCAAACATGATGCTAGATATATTCTAATGATAACAAACATTGGTAAGTATGATCATGGTGTAAATAAAACTTTTGTATAAATGTATATTTGCTATGAATGAAAAGCTAAATATTAGATCAAATCATTAAAGTGTCAAGCGACAAAATCAATTCTGCATTATTTTAAAAGATGATCAGTACGTTTTCAAAATATTTACGAGTCAAACTTTTTGGAGATAAGTTATCAATGTGAGATAATCAACAAGGATGGGATTCTCTGGGATATGCTCTTTACAGACTATGGATCATAAAATAAAATAGAAAGAAAAAGAAAAAGGAAACTTAAAGGCAAGGGAAAACATGATCCAAATTCCTATTGTGCGGCTGATAGCTGTCTTCTTTTCAGGTCGAATTGTCCACTAATTATTTATTTATTTAATTATTTTCTCAGCTGACAGTGGCTTATCTACTGCGGTGTAGCTTGATTTATCTTCTCGATTTTCGATAAAATGGGAGTAGGTATTTTTTTATGGGCTTTATTAATCTCCATTAATAGGAGGTAAGATATCTTCTATCACTCTCACAATCATGTAGTGGGATTCACATAATTATAAAATAAAAAAATAAAATAAAATAAAAGCACACGAATCGATGTCTTAACCAGAAAATGAACATATCTTCTGTGGCTGAAGATTAGTTTTTCCCTTCTTTTATAAAGGATATAAAAAAACGTAAAGATAAAGATAGTATAAATATGCTACACTTTTATATTTAATAAATGATATATCCAGCGATCAATATTTGATATTAGTATTGAGAATATTTTCATCTCACAGTTATCTCTGATTTATATGGATTTGATATTTATTATGTTGTATGAAATAAAATTATTTCTTATAAATATTTTAAAATATGTGAAGTCCATATAGGATAATGTGAAGCGAAGAGAGAGAATTTTTTTTTGTATAATTTTATATGTATATAAAAAATAATTTTATTTTCACATTAAAAACATTGAACGCATATATTGTGTGTGATCAGACCAAATCTTTACAACTGGGCCGATCATGTGATCTTCCTCTACACAGGCCTGGAACCGTCTTGGGTCAGAGCATCTTGCAGTTGGGCCGCTTTATTCCATGGGTCTTCGATGGAACGCGATGAGGGGTGTACCTGCAAGACACTCCGACGCTCAAGTCAGATATGGTTCAAGCAGGTTTAATTATGTAGGAGAAGATTATGTACCTTAGTGTTGATACATGTATTTATAGTGGAGATATGAGCAGCTTGGAGATGTCTTAATGCTGAAGTATACTTGGAGATGAAGTATCTTGAAGTTACTTGCTGCCATGTTGCCTTTAATGTTGAGGAGCTTTGCTAAGATAAGCTTTAATATTGTGGTGCTTGATGGGATAAAGCCATTAATATTGTGCAGTTTGATGGCTGTCATGAGCTTGCTATTATAGCAGCTTGTGAAGTTTGTTGTCTGTCATGGTGCTTTTAATATTGTGGAGCTTGCAGCCTTCTTGGACTAAGGTTTTGCTTCATTGTGAAGGCTTTAATTATGGGCCTTGTATTTGTATAATATTTATCCAGATCAGTGGAAACGTGCTCGTGACATATCCTATCAACTTTTTAATTTTATGAGATATTGCTTATATCATTATTCTATATTTTAACCATGAAGATTCAAAAGTCTTCAAAAAGTCGTCCCATGGAAGGCCATCGCGCGAGCATTTAATTCTTCAAATTGTATAGGCCTGTGGGCATAATACCATTGCGTAATAATCATATATTGATAATGTTCTTACACGCGACCATTGCTCAATGGTTTGAGAACCAGCTTTAGATACCTCTCGCTTCCACAGTAGTTAATCGCTTTAACACTCTAAGAATTTAGACATGTCAGAGTAGATACCCTAAGTTGCGCTTATTAAGATTAGTCATCCTTAAAGCTGATATATCTTTCTGCATAATCCTCTCTATACTTAAAACAATATATATCCCCATGTGCCTTTATTGGAAGCAACACTCTAATCCATGCTTCTCTGAACTTAAGATCATATCCCACCTAGGGATCTTTGCTTTGACCATCTTTGAGATAGCAAGTCCTTAGTAGCATTCTCCACCAACGTGCGGAGACACTAAAATATTGGTAGCATCGTGCAAGGTCTCCAACATGATAGGTCCAGCATTGAAGAGATCCATTTTCATAATATCAGGAAAGATACTATTAATCATATTTTCATAATACGATTTCATCATCGCGCATTCTCCTATAACCATACGAATACATCCCCCACAGGTTTTACCATGTAGTTTATGAAGAAGTAAGAAGTTTTATCATGACACGTGTAAGGAGTGAGAAACGGATAAGTAATTGGATAAGTTCGAATAAGATATTTGAAAGGTTGGTATATAGGTTCTTTTGGAGAACTGTGTCCTACTAAGGAACCAATACTAACTTCCTGAATCTTACACGTGAGGAGTTTGAACCTTTGTCGGGCCAGACCGTTTCGTTGTTCCTTTAAAAGGGGTTGTGTACCATCGCGCTGGAAATGGCGAGAAGTTTTACCATGACACGTGCAAGGTTCTTCTGCGCGATGTGCAGCATCCATGGCGGGATGGGTAGCTTCTTTTGCGCGATGTATAAACAATGAATTATATATTTTTTAAACATGTTAAGCTATACTGTAGAGAGAGGTAACGATGAAGACCAGTATTTTTTTTAAAAAAAATTAATGACCCAAATCGTGCCACTTGATCGTGGACTTGTCTTCAGTGCCATGCCACAAGACTTATATGTGTTTTTGGTGATATTCCTTCAACTTGATGTCATATATAAGCAAGATACCGTTAATCCATTTTGTGTAATACTGGCAGCAGCGCGCGTAGTACCTCCCAGCATCACGCACTACGTAAGGTTTTACTGGTATTGACTATACGTTGAACGTATACTTCTTTTCGTGACACTTTGGGATTATGATTTTAGGTCCTATAAGATGAACCTTGTGCGTTGGGATTATGGAAACCACAACTGTATAAGGAAAATAATGAAGACTATGTAGACCAAATAAAAGTGCCATCGCGCACTTGGAATGTGACCTCAGGTTCTGCCCAATAGATAGCTTAAAAGTAATCTTGACATCGTTTGGCGTTCTGCTTACACGATGTGATATTGAAATTAATCAATGTAATGGAAAATTCTTCCAAGAAAGCATGGCAACAAGGGATAAACATCACGCCCCAAGGGATAAGCATCACGCCGTGATACT